GTTGCGTTGCTTTCAGTTCTAGTAACATAATAAAAATGTAATATTAAAAAATAAACATCCTTATAAAACTATAAGCTTCTTCGCTCCACTCGGAAACTAAAATAATTTGCCGCCCTAAGCATTAGCTTAAAGTGTTTACTGCGAAATACGGCACTGGCTATTTATTTATTTTGTTCATTATACTTTGTTTCGTTTAAGAAATAATTCCTCGTCAAGTAAATAAATTATTGAAACAAAATACGTTTATTTAAATTCAATATACTTAGCATTAATTCATGATATCACATCTTTATAGTGCTTAAAGATCTAATATTTTTTTTTTTTCTTAGCCATTTTTACACGTAGTTTACGAAGGATTTTTGTTGTGATATTATAAAATAAAACAAAACAAATTAAATAGTTAACAGCTTAAGCAATCTTCGGTTCTTTAAAAAAAGTATATCAATGTCATTTTCACAAGAGATTTTCATAAAATTGTCTAAGCAGTTTTCAGCTATGGTTGAGCTCAGTCTGTTTTTTATTATCTTAAGCTTAGCAAAACTATTTTCAGTAGTTACACTTCCAACTGGCAATATTAATGCGATTTTTCCTATTTTTCTTATATAAGTTAGGAAATACATCTTGAAGTTTGTTTTTTCCAACATTTGCTGAAAATAATATAAGAGTAAATAATAGTTTATATATATACTGTGAACATTGTACATTTGGCTCTATTTGATAAACAAAAATCCGACTTTAAAACCATTATCTTTTTTTCTATTTTTATGATTTTTATAGACTATCATGTTTAAAAAAAAAAAAAAGAAGTTATTATTTTTGTTTAATTATATAATTTATAAAATATACCGTTTACCTATGCCTTTAAAATTAATCAAATTCAAAATTTTTGAACAATTGTATTACTTGGAAATATTTCCTAAGCTGGCACAAGTCACTGATTCATTTTGAGTACTTTTACCAAGAAGTTTTCTTCATTTTTTAGGAAATGAAGCAAACTATCAGCAAATAGTATGTACACATTTTTGAGGAATTTTTCCCTACACAAATATCAATTATATTTGAGAAAATTATGAAAATGCATCGAATGGACCTGTTGAAGAATATAAACGAGTTTCATCCCATCTCTTTTTAGAAAGGAGAGAAAAACATTTTAGGAAGTGTCTATCGATATGCAAAACAATTTTGCTTCTGTCACAGAGTTAGACGTTTGGAGATATATCTAATTACTGAGACAGTCAAAATGCGTATTCTGTATACACCAAATCTGTTTAATAATACATTTCATATTTCAGCCGGCCATGCTTATATCAATGGTTGAAAACAGCATCAAGTTTTCAAGAATGTCCAGTGTGTGAAGCTCACATAAGCAAAGATAAAGTTATACCAATTTATGAGTTTAGAAATGCCGAACAAGAAGATCCGAGGCATTTTTATATTAATTGGAAAAAGAACCCGATGTTCGTCATTATCTCGAATATTAATGAGAATTTCAAAAAATTACCTTTTTAAAGTACCACTTGGAAAATAACGATTTTCTATTAAAAAAAGTGTTCACATAAAATATAAAATAAAAAAAAATAAACAACTTTGTAAAACCAATGCATTCTTCGCTGAACTCAGAATCTAAAGAAATGTGGTAATAATAGTTCTTTTTCTTATAAATGTGCATTAAGTTATGTTAAATTTTAAGAAGAAGTTTGGCTCTTGAGTTAAAAAAAAAAAGTCTAAGTATTGAAAAACGCCAAACACAAACATTTTCCCTTAATCAACATTCGTGATTAAATTTTCGATTTGCCATTCCCCGCAGAGATATGACAGGTTAGGCCAGACTTAACCACTATTTCTTATTGTTGTTACAACAAATAGAATACTAATGTTAAACAAGTTATAAATCATATAATGTAGGTAAATTTAAAATAATGATAATATTTATTCAAAATTAAAATATATACTAAATACAATATGTAACTTTTAAAATTTGCCTACTCAGTTACAAAATACAAAATATCAAAATATTATTCTAATGTTTTATTTTATTTTTCAAGTATTAAATAGTAAAATGAAAACTTAGAGTTCAATAGCATGCAAGTACACAAATTTTTACATTTTTTAATCTATGTAATTTAGTATATGATCACTGGAGGCTCAATAATACAATAACTTTTACAATACAATAAATAATAAATAACATATGGATACAGAAAACTAGCACAATACTAATAGAGATAACCCAAACTAAACTAAACATTAAATACAAATTAACATAATTATAGCTTATGTATTAAACTTATGTGAAGATGTTTATACAGTGAGTTAAAAATAATATTGTCTAATAAAAATTGTTTAAGGTATAAACAAAAAAAAATTACAATAATGTATATCAATCAACTTCTGCAGTTTTCAAAACAATTTTGATATTGAATACACAAGTAAATGTACAAATTGATAAATATAAAAGGTTATATGTATCAGAAAAGAAAAACCGATATAATCCAAAAGTATTATTTTTAAACACTAAGTGAAGCAATGTGATAACATGTATTGATTTTTCTATGAGTAATTTTTTTTTTTATTTATTTACTTAAGATTTACATAAATCAAACCAATAAGTTGTATAGTAAACAAGGCCTGTAAGAGCTCTTTTTCAAGTATATCAATTTAAGTACATTTGTATTATAACATTATTAATCAAATAAAATAAAATAACAATAGTAATAAGTAATGATTTATGACAAAAAATTAAAAAAGGAAATAAATAAATAAATCAATGTGTCACCTGGAGTATTAATTTATTACCACAAGCTCAATATTATCTATAATAAAGCCTATAGAAATAATTTCAATTTAAATAATATTAATAAAATTCATAAAAGTATTAAAGAAAAAATAATACACACTCAACAAATAATGTTAACTATTGTAGTATGTAATATCAAGATAATATGTCAAACGAATTCGCTAAAATTCTGAATAATAATAAAAATAATGTAAAAATCGCTTTCAAGACTAATAATAATTTAATCAAACATGTAAACAATAGAATTAAAGACTTCACAAAAAATCACCCTTCTTTTGAAAATGCTGGTATTCATTAACTTAAATGTAACTGTAATAAATTTTATATAGGTAAGACAAATAGATATTTTTTAAAACAACATGTAAAGAACACATTTCTGAAATAAAATTTAAAAAGACTGCCTCTAATTTAAATTTCGCTAAACATGTTTTAGAAAATAACCATAGTATAAAATTTGATAATAATACAGACTTGGAAATATTAAACACTCAAAATAACATTTACATTTATTCAGTTTTAGAAGAAATACACACCCACAATGAAATAGAGAAAGTTAATTTTAATAATATTTTAAATGTACAAACCGATTTTAAAAATAATATCTTATATCAATACATTTTAGACAATAAATAATAGCCAAATAATTTATATTTCTTAATATATCTATATGCCTAATAAAAAACCATTTTTAAATAATCTCTCCTATTGAAATAAATTATTTCTATGTAAAAAAACCAATTTGTATACATTTTTTTCTAGTATTTCTTCATTTAATTTGTTATATTCAGTAAATTCATAATACTCTAGGCGCACTAATTTATTTATTTGTGTATTTGAGAAACCTTAGATTCTTAAATTCGTAAATAAATTAACGGTATAGATAAACGAATAATATTAACAATAGCAAAAATATACATTTTCCTGCAATAAATAAAAAAAGTATTGGTGTTCTATTAGCTGAAACAAATAAAATCAATTACTACGCATAGTAAATAAATTCATTATTAAAATTAAAATCTTAAAATCAATATTTTTACAGAGAAACTTTTCAAAAATAGATCAAAAATTTTCAATATTGGAAGAACAGACTACACAAGTAATTTTACAGTAGTCTATTAACATAAGTAGTGGGATAAATCTGGATATTCTTTTAAGACATAATTTTAATCACAAATACCTATAAAACAAAAATACATATAAAATCACAAAAATATCAAATAACTGGAAACAGCATAAAAATAACTAGAATGTTTTGAAAATTTTACCACATCTACAAAAGGCCAATATAAGTATTTAGAGAAAACTATAGGTTTCTACAATTGTTTAACATTAGTTATGATAATGTAAAGTCATGAAATTGTTATGTGTTAAATATTTGACGTTTGTTCCTAAATTTTTCTCAACAATTATGAAAACGGATTGCAAAAAATATATGATCTTCTTAAAGTACCAAATATCAAATTTTCGGATTTTTGAAATATCCAGATTTCTATGAAATCACTAATGAACATAGAGTTCACTGTATTATTGTTATTACACTTACTTGTAGGTGGAAGTGATGTTAGGAGGCCAAGAGGAAATATTTCATTTCCTGCCACCAAATGAATCTCAGACATATTCTAAAAAAAGTAAAAATAAAATAAATTGAATAACAAATAAATTTAAAATATTTATAGTTTACTATGTGTGTTTCAAGTTCAGTTCCATGGCCAGTTGACTTTGATGGTTCTTTGTTTCTAGAAAAAAAAAAAACCTTATGAAGCATTGAGATTTCATTCTTCAATTATTATAAACAAAGACAACATTAAAAATATATATTAAATATATAGCATTATTGAAAGTGGAATATTTTATACGGTGCAATAAAATAAAATTTAATGTCCATCAACATGTTAATATATAATAGGGTAAAGAATTGTATTTGTGTGATACATATTCATTGGTAAACATCTAAATAATGTCAAATGTTAACTCTGATAAGTTTATTGACTTATTTGAAGCTGAATTACTTAATTTAAATTTGAAAGGAAGATTAATTTATCCCAATATACATTTTTATCATTTCTTACACAAAGAAGATAAAAGCTTTGCAATACATTGTTAAAAGAAATATGTACCACATTATACTCTAAGTGTTGACTGATAAAAAATAACTAATAAGTTAAAAGATAGCTTTGAATTGTATTATTATTTATTTATAAATTATAAACCTAATTTTTATATTTTTATAATTTTTATATACACCCCTATTTTAAATAGGTGTTTAAAAAATCAAATGGTGTGAAATGGTACATAACACGGTATTACATAATACAATGCAATACGAGGTATTCAAGTTGAAATAAGAAATATTTCATTAAATTTGATTAGATTATGAGTAGAAATTTGAAAATAAAGAGTACCTAGAGTAAAAATTAAAATTAATTATTACAAAATAAAAATTTTAATAACAACGTTTTATTATGTTAGACTTCAAGAAAAGAACGACTTTTGCCTTTATTAACAATCACATAATAACTATATAAAATTTTACAGAAAATCCACTATGTTTTTCTTTTAGTCTATCATAAAATAATGATTTTACTATCTTGCATATTTCCTGAAGATATTAACTTTGGTCAAAATTGTATCTTTTGGAAATTTAAGATACAAAAAGTTTTAAAATTATAAAAGTTGTCATTATTTTTGTCATCCTTAATTTTGATGGTGAAACTACTGCCAATTTTGGATTTTTGTAAAATAACATATATTTTAAATTAGGTTTTCATATCATATATAATATCACTAATATGTTGTTAGAAAAAATTTAAATTACTGTAGATCTTCTCGTTTGGTATTTCCACACCCATAAATTGGTATAACGTTTTCTTTACTTATGTGAGCTTTACACACTGGACATTCTTGACGCCTTGGTTCTGTTTCCAACCATTGATGTAAACATGGCCAGCTGAAATTTGAAAGATATTGTTAAATAGTTTTATAATAAATTATAGGGATTATAGTGTGATCAATTGAATATCTTTTATAAAGTATTTAGCTTTTCACCTAAAACAGCAAAAAACAATTAAATTAAATATAAAAAAAATATTCAAGAATAAGAAATATTTAATATCAGCTTGAGATCAATCTAAGATGACTGGAATCAATGAATTTCTGTCTTTGTCTTACACATATGCAATGCAGGAATAATTTAGATGTGTTCTATTTTCAATATATCAATTGATCTAGTGAAGCGGCAAGAATTTCCAAAGTAGATTTGAATTCATTGTTAAGTCTACTTGACATTGAATTTCCTACTTTTTGATATTTTATTTTGATTTCTCTAAAAATTTAAATATTCCATTCTATGTGCTAAATGCAGAGAGGAATGTATTGGTTTTACAGTGTATATATTAGGTTTATTTTTTGTTTCTGTCTCCGAAGTATAAGCTATTTATTGTGAACATAGTTCGAGGAAAGTAGAGAATATCATTCTATATATTATCTAAAGACAGCCATGCTCATGTTTATCTATCCCAGAATTAGAATATAAAATAAAATATTTTTTTAGTTAAGTATAAATTAAAAAAAAAAAATTGTGGTATTGTAACCATTACTTATTGTTTTAAGTAATAACTAAACCTATTAATTCATATTAAATCAAGTTCCTTTATTATAATGGTTTTAATTTTAAAACAGAATAATTTTTTAAATCTATTTTCTATTTTTAATAAAAGAGTTTATTATTTATATTATTATATTCACTAGGAATGCCTTAAATNTATTTAGCTATTCTACAGTCATTCTTAATTTACTATAAAAATTATAAATATCAATGTTAAAAAGTGTCAGTTATTTATTGTGTCCTTTATTTAGAAGTATTCCAATACATGAATATTGAAAATGTCTCAGCTCACAAAAAAACATCTGCTATTTGAAGGTGTCTGTTATTTAAAGATAAAGGAGGTTTCAATGTATGCATATATATGATTTTTATTTTGGAAGACCGTCAAATGATGGTACACTGATTATTAAGGCAGCAGCAAAACAATACTTTGAAAATATAAATATTCCAGTCCAAGAACTAGTAGAAATTGGAAAACAATTATATTGTGATACTGGAGATATTTTAGCCATAAATCAAAGGAAAAATGAATTAAACCGTAGACAACAACGATTGCAAAATCCATGTGTCGAAAAAGGAAATCTATATACCAATAGAATAATTTTATTACAGATGGTACCTATAATACTAAATATTTAGTATTTAATATATAGTTAAACCCAACATTGTAACTATAATTATTAAAATGTTGCAGTTCGACTAACCAAAATAAATGACCACATATGCTGACAACTGCATCCTTGACATTATCCAAGCATATGTTACATTCAAACGTTTTATTCTCTTCATCCTGGTTATAGGTTTCTTTATTGTTCTTATCCTTATGAGAAGTACCGTTTTCGCTGCTAGCATTTTCCATAATACGTTCTATATAAAATTATGACATTCTTAAAATAACAAATCGAAAATCTAAATACATCCAATTAATGTGAATTTGTTCACATTTTGTATTATAAATACACACGACACAGATAATATATTTATTGCACACACAATATGTATATTATTTGGGTATTATAAAGTAATTATTTGTGCCTTATAATTAGCATACTGAAAATAGTTTCAATAATCTGTTATAACGTGTAGTTCAAACAGGATACAAATCTAGTGATATCAACGCGATTGTTAATAAATAATTAACATAATTACTTAATTATTATTAATAGTTAATAATGAGTTATTAATAATTAATTAATGAATGTGCCTAACATACATTTTTCACACTTACTTATGTGTAAAAATAGTAGAATTTATATTTTTCAGGAATATTACTTTTTGATTCAAATGCTCGTAAAGTTGTAACTCGTTTCAAACCCGAACCGCTTTATTCATTACCGAGTGTTAAAGTAGGCCACAGTCAAGGGGAAAAAATATTAAAAACTACCTTTATCAGAGAGAACGCTATACCGTGTATGTGTACGTGCATATTAATATGAAGTTCCACCTAATATAAATATGATTATTATCTATCTAACCTTTTTAACAGCTGACGCGTTTAAATTTTATTTTTCATGATATCAAATGATAATTTATTACGTAATAAGTTTATTTTATACTTATACGTTATTTTAAAATTGTTCTTTTATTGTTAAGATTGAAGCTATTTCGTTGTACAAACGTAAAGTTGTAATTATAGCGGCTATTCTACTAAAAAGAATAAGTCTGTGTTATGTTAATTCAGCAATATCTTTAAATTAAATATGAGTTAATATTTGTCAATTATCAACAAGTGTATGTAGGTACCGTACACGTAGGAGGTTATATTATATTATAATTTTATAAGTATAGTTTTAGAGGTAGATCATTTTAAATTTAAGAGAGTCAATTCTTTCAAATATCTTGGCTCAATTATGACTGAAAAAAATGATATCACCAAGGAAGTAGCCGCGAGAATCCAATCGGGAAACTGGACTTATTATGTGTTAGAGAAACTATTAAATACTAAATCATTATCATGAGAGATAAAGAGACGTTTGTATACTAGTCTAGTCAGTGATATTGTACGGATCGGAAACCTGGGCACTAAGAAAATCAGATGAGAAAAAGTTTTTAATACTAGAAAGGAAAATATTACGAAAGATCTTCCGTCCAATAAAAGATAACATCACAGAAGAGTGGAGAAGAAGGAAAAATATAGAGCTACAAGAAATTTTTAAATTTTAAATAACATAGCAGAGACGATCATGAAAAAAAGGTTGCGGTGGGCAGGACATGCAATTCGAAGCCAGAACTCTTTACTAAGAATGGTTTTAGAACAGAATCCAGTAGGAAAAAGGNATTTCCAGTTTCCAGTCTTTTTTCCAAATAATCTATCCCGAGGCTTGGTGTTAGAGTCCTGAACCAAAACTTGTTTTACTAGGCAGGGTTGTTAACCCTGCGCTAAACCCCCAACCTGGAGGACCAGACTACCCCAACCACTTAAGGTCAGGGTAAGTCCAGAACTCTTTACTAAGAATGGTTTTAGAACAGAATCCAGTAGGGAAAAGGCCTTTGGGAAGACCAAAATTGAGAAGGGAAAATTTAGTTAAGAGAGATATAGAAGTCTTAGGAGGCGGAGCAAACTGGAAGGATTTGGCGATGAATAGAGATGCCTGGAGAATTGGTTGTGAGACGGGATGGTCCTAGCGGCCGATTAACCCAAGAAGAAGAAGAAGTATGTAGGTACCGTATACGTAGGAGGTTATATTATATTATAATTTTATGGAAATGTAAAGTAGTACTTTTGAAAAACTTGTTGGTTCTCTAATTTACCGTTACATTAATTCACCATTTTGTATACGGGACGTACATACCATAAGTTGTAGGATAATTTTGCGACTTTAAGGTACCTTATATGTTAATTACTATAAATAAATAAATTTTAAATTTTAATTTTAAGTATACCTATATAATATGCATAATTTTTTAAATATATGTTGTAGATATTTAAGCAATTATGATCTACCCTGTGGGATGTATTGAATTGTTTTGTCAGTGTTTAACTAATATTTAATTTAAATAATTAAATCCAACTTATTATCACATTTAGATTCTGACTAGAGCAAAAAGCTAATAGTTGTACAAAGATGTTTATTTATTGTTTATTTATAGACTGTGAACCTACTGGCAATTTTAACTACAGTAATGTTTTCAATCAATTTATCTTAGGTGGGCATTTATCCATATTGGATAATACCATTATTTTATTATTTATTTTTTTTTTTCCAAAAGTAATGGTATTAATATTAGAAACCATTACCTTTCGTAATAATCAGAATATAAAAGAAAGCAGGTGTAGAATAAACTGAAGACTAAACCTCTATAAAACCCCTATACCAAAAAAGTAGGCTGTTATAATAATGTAAGTTTTAAGGCAAGATGACATTTTTCACCAAAAATATTCAATGTATACATGTAAGGAGTAATTAGCTCAGTAACAGAAGAAATGTAATAGGGATTTAGGCTGATTAGCTAAACATTCGCAACTTCTCAACTACAACTGTGGCTGCACCTACGTTCGAAGTATGTCTTTTTTCCCCTTAAATTACAATTACAATAACCGAAAAATTTGAATCTATTTTATTTAATTAATATTATTTGTTTAAGAGTAGTGTACTAAACAAAATTCCTGCATGTGGACATTGCGAATAGACTAAGTGAAAAGTATCGTTTATTTGAATTCATAAATAACTTGATTGATATTATTACTATTGATTAGGTATACATACGTAACCCATGTAATGTTAAAATATGGCAGCGCAAAAATCGAATTCGAAAAGAAATGAAACTATCGAGTTAATATTTCAAGAGTTGCATCTGCTTTCAAAAGAAGGCAATGGTTAGAAATGAAAAGTGATTTTTGGTATAAAAGTTGTTCACAGATGGAAAAAAAAAAAATGAAAACAGTTATTGCCCTAAATTTTCTCGTTAAATATAAGCATATCCGCATAAATATATTTTTATAACCTATCCCAACCTAACACTTTATTTAATTTTAATCATATTTTTACATAGAGTTAACAACATTATTGTTATGTGTTGATATGTTTAGTGATAAAGAGCTTATGGTTTCTATTTTACAGTTCCATTAAATTTGGGAATAAAAAATAATGTAAAAGGGATGGAGTTACTGTTTCCGAAATTACGGAAGAAATAAATAAATCGCTTAGATATTGACAAATTACGCCAATATTAACTAAATCGAACATATTTAAAAAAGAATCTAGATTTATTAAATGCACAAATATGAAACGCATTATGTATTTTGACTTTATGCTGTTAAAGTTTCATACGTTCGAAAATACGGCTCTTAGAGATCTGGCGGGGGTAATCGGTTTTATACAAAATTAACCCTCGATTTGATTTGAAAAACCGCGTCGGGTAAGTAACACGGAAGAGTGATAATAATTTGCCGAGAATTTAGTTTTCTAAGTTGTTGTACCTGATTCAGATTTTGTTATCTTCAGGAAAGATATAGCCGTTTTAAAACTATACGAGGATTGGATCAAAAGTAAAAGCACCTGTTTTTACATATTTTTACTTTTAAGTAAGTTATATTTATTTGTAATTACATAACCGTATGTAGAGTTATTTTTTTTTTGTTATTTTAGGTTTGCAATAATTTTACATAGATCGTATACTATGGGAACGACTAGTAGTAAAACGGGCCCTCCCCATGAAGATAAAAACAATGAAAAAACTAATAATCTGGATGAAGTGAATACAAGATTTAAATGTTGCATATGCTTGGACAATGTAAAGGACGCAGTTGTCGGTTTTTGTGGCCATTTATTTTGGTTAGTTTTATTGCTACATTCTAATAATCATAGTTATCATAATGGCTTCAAACAAATAGTAAATACTAAATATATGGCACAATAGTTATCTAATGTATTTTGCTTGACACAATTATTTCACAATTTGTCTACACAATTGTACTTTCACAAAATAAACGTTTAGATGGTATGGTAATTTGTTTTCCTTTCACCAAAAGCAGCATTTCAACAACTGTTATGATCAATTAATATTGGCTAATTTAGGCTTTAGGCAACACATTAAGTTTGTCCTGTACTGTTATCACCTTACAGAGATTTCATTTATGTATTTAACTGTGTAGTTTTGGATAAAAATACATTATTATTTATATTTCCATATTGTATGATACTATAATATATATGTGACAACCATCACCTTAAGACTAACTATTTCTCTAGGTTCCATGAAAAAAATACAGCTTCAATAAAGACTCTTATCATCACTTACATATTTGGTAAGTGCTATTTTTACATGTATATATATATATTTTAAAAGTTTATATATATATAATGTGAACATTGTACATTAGGCTTTATTTGGTAAACAAAAATCCGACTTTAAAACTATTATCTACTTTTCTAATTTTATGATTTTTATAGACCATCATGTGTAATTAAAAAGAAAAAAAAAATTATATAAAGCCATTGGAGGACTATATTTTGAAAAAATTAAACACAAATCTTTGAAATTGAAGAAGAAACTTTTTTAATTTGTATGTATTATATTTTTATACACCCAATCCAAATGTTGGGTCTTGCAATTGCAAAACATGATTGTAAGATTGAGCGCCACTGGCATGAATAAGACATTCATTAAAGGTTGCTGTGTACATATTTAAGATTTAACTGCATTACTGAAGTATTATGTAATCAGTTTTAATAACTAATCATTAAGAATATTTTGGAAAGCAAGCAGTATTTATGTATTTAGAATAACCCGATGTGTTCGTAAATGTTAATTAATAAATGCTCATAAATTCTTATTGTACTAGACAATGACTTAAAATCCAATCCACTTAGATTGATCTAAAGATGGTATTAAATATTTCTTTCTCTTTAATTTGTACTTTGTATATGTTTGTATATTTAAAATATTCTTATACTTTACTATTCTGGGTTAATAGGTAAATACTTTATAATAGGGATTTAATTTATCGCATTGTAACAAAAATAATTTGCAAAATTATTATTTAATAATACATTTCATATTTCAGCCGGCTATGCATATTTAAATGGTTGGAAGCAGCATCAAGTCACCGAAAATGTCCAGTGTGTAAGGCTCACATAAGCAAAGATAAAGTTATACCTATTTGTGAGTTTAGAAATGCCGAACAAGAAGATCCGAGGTATTTTTTATATTAATTGTTACTGATACCATATTTAACAAATGATTAAAAACTTTATTTAAAACAAATAATTTAATAATTAAACATACAAATCCATAGTTCCACAAAACATATTAGGTATCAGTGGATAACATAAACAATGCTCATTGCTGCTCCTAAATATGATTCTGAAACAAGACCAAGTGTATGCTTTTTATGAGTTTTATTGCTGTAATATAAAATTCTATTGAAATTGATGCAGTTGTGATGTGACTTTGTATATTACTTTATTTATTTAATGTAATTTTTATTTCCATTCAAAAAAAATGTTTTTACAATTTATTTTCAACATTTTAGTCATTATCTAAGCAAGTTGTTAAGAAATCTCAACTTTTATATTTCTAATTATACAGTTTTATAAATTTGTTTTTGCCTCTTAACCCCACATGGTTTTTTTTGCAAGATTGCATGGCATGATTCAAATCGAGTTGAACAAGAGCATAAAAAAATCATTGTGTATATAAAGTAAAGAATTTATATTTTGTCTATGGTGTTGTTTTTGTTAGTGTAATTTTAATGGTTTTACAAAATATAATACTTCTGCCAGAAATCATGATTTATAGGATATTTTGGTAAATTATCAAAACTGTGATTTGTTTCAATTATAATTTATTATTTAAAGTGTCTATGTTAAAGAATGAAATCAAAAACCATTGTGTTTATTGTTTTAATAAACACATATTAGCATAAGCATTAGGTTATATAATTTTCGATCCTCTTGTAATTTTGTAAGTTATAAATTATAATACATGATTCAATAATATTACAATTCAAAACTATTTTAATAATTTAGTAAAAACTTAGTAATTTATAAATTATTTTTTTCATCAGTTTTCATGTAAAGGTTAAAGGATGGTAAAATTACCAATTCATTTAAGGTTAAAACATGACAAAATACATATCTGCCTTAAAAATTCATTGGTTATTAACATTAAAAAAAAAAAGAAGGAAAAATAACAATTCTACCATAACATTAATAATTTGATCTAGTTTTGTATTATTTATTGATAATACACTTACCTCTAGCACACATTTGAACAAATACAAATAAATCAACTGCATTCAAAAAAGTTTCTTTTATAATAATTTTATAAACTAATAGTGACATAAAACCCACACACAGTGACTGTGCCGATGGACACTTTTTCGTAGTAGTTTAGATAATATTTACAATAGTTAGATGTTTAATGGAAAATAAGTATCACCTAATTGAAGAATTGAAAAATTAACCAGATTTGTAAGTTAGATTTTGTTATTAAATATATGTAATTTTTTTTTTTTATTATTTTTAGCAACCCATTACCACCAATACTAACTGGCATTACAACTGAACCAGATGAAGCTGCCATAGTAAACTTTAGATTTTATACTTTTATTATTCATTTAAATTTTTTTTATTAATGCATTATTTTTTGTTAGGGTAACGTTGGTTTCAAGTTTCTTAGAGAGTACTTGAATGGAATACCTTATATGGAAAATATATTTGCATTAAATTTCAATGATCTTGAACATAATAGATGTAAGTGAAATAACAATAGTACAGCGAACATAGAGTTCATTGTAACTCTATTCTATAGTCCGTTATTGACAGGTGCCATTAACAGACAATTTTAAAATGTCTTATGTATTCTATGCTTCCAATTGTGAACTTTTGCGTCTATTTTAGAAATGTTTTATTGCAAATATTGATTTTGAGATTATAATTTTAACAATGAATATACTATTGAATTATAATAATTGATTATATTTGTTCCAGATTTATGGATGCTATTGATGGTACTTATATTCATATTCTGTTTTATATATTATCAATTATTTATGTATGTAACTCATAAATATTCTAACCCTTGGTTCTATTTTTATTACACTATAGTAAAATTAATATCTTTTTTTCTTTTGTCACATATAATTGGTTAATATTATTATTTTCTATTTTATTTGTTTAATGTTACAATATCATTGTAATTAAAACAATGTCAAACCAATATATTTCTCCCTACTTTTAGAATTTAACAGTAATATTGGTTTTTTTTTTTTTCATTAAACATAACAAATTTGTTGTATGGATTCTAAAATCGAAGAAAGTTTATTAATATATATAATTGTAATCATTTTTTTTTTCACTTAATGATATTTTAAATGTGAAGTATTATTTTTAACTCTTAGTATTTACATAATTTTAAGACTTAAGTAATAAATATGAAAATATAAAAATTGTATTTAATTTGAATTTATTATTAAGTTTATTAATATATAATTATAATTTATATAATATTATTATAATTTTAATATAATTTTTATCTTTCCGCCACCCATCTATAATAAATTCCAGCAACCTAACATGTACCTATCTATTCATTCATTTTTTTTTCACGATATTATTCTATAGACCCCTCTTCTGTGATATTATTTCTAATACATCCATATAAGTTATCATTTTCATATAATGTATATAAGCTATCTTCTATTCTTCTCTTTTGCTGATATTTCTTTGAAAATCTCTAATTTTCAGTTCAACGCAATATTAGCTTGGTTTATTCACTTAGTTATTTGCCTTTTATTTCAGCCATCTTCGATAATTATACTTCCAGGTAAACAAACTTTTTTCTTTTTCAATGTTTCTTTAACCTTTCTCTATCGTCCACACTCACATATGAAATTTTCCAAGCCATGTTTTTTTTATTTCTATTGCGGTAGTAGTTGATCATACAACTGTTCCTGCAGTTACTAATTTATACGGGTCAGAATTTTTTCTCGTTAAAATTAATTCTATCCGTGAGTTGACTAATATATTTTTAAAATCCTCAAAAAACCCCATCCAATATTTCAGCGGAATACATACATTAAAACTTCCTGAACTAGTATCCAGTATAGCCGTATTGTTCCTAAAAGTCCAGCCAGCGTTTTCATAACAATAATATTCGTCTGGTACACACGATAAATAGCCTTTTATCGAACTTGTTATTTCAAGTGCACGTGTTCTATCCACTTCCACTCAATTAATTTCAAATCTTACTTGTTCGGAAAGTTGTGATACACCATTATTATAATGATTGACTTTAGTTGATTCCGCTATTTTTCTTACAATATAAATAAAGCTCTCATGAAGATACGGGTATGCGTCTGACTGTTGTACTATTATTCGTATTTCATCATTATTTCTAAATGAATTTGTATATGGAATATATGAATGGTATTCAATCTTTGTTATTTTCGTATCCATTGTATAATGAGAATCGATGTCTAAGATATCACTTTCGGGCATTTTCTTTTAATGTATAACTAAGTGTCCGAAAAATCTGTTTACTCTTAGCAGTCAGTTTCCGTAGTTTACCTTTATTTGTTGTTGTTGAATGAACATCAAATTTATTACTAACTGAATTATGCGGGAGCACTGTCTTTATATTCTTATTTTTAAATGTCAGCCCCATATCTACAACGTCTGATGTGTAAAACAAATGTTATTTTTTCGTGAAAATTATGAATAGGGTTTTGATCTTGACTAGTTCTATATTTACCTTATTTATAATGGGTTTGATTAATCTGTAATATATCAAGTTTGTGGGACTTTCCATTAATTTGACAGCAATTGCACCAGGAGAGAAAAATTCATGAATTGAATGAGACGGTCGATTGTTTCTGAATGATCCTTGTGTTGTATTACATATTATTTTTATAGAATTTATTGGATTTATATTAATCGGTTTTTCAGACTGTAAATCAGTCCCCGAAACATTTCTTCCAAATCCTAATATCGATGCTAAACTGTTTTCAACATTGAAATCTATCGAATAATTGCAATGAATGAAGGTTTTGAAATTGGTCTCATCGTAGCTCATTGTTATTATTATTTCTTTCTTCGAATTATTATTAAACTCATTGACAAGATATTTTATTTTACTTACAATATTATCAAATCCATAAAATCCAACCGGAAGTCTGATTTCTAAATTAAAATCTTCCCCCAACATTTCATTATCCCGTACTCGGATAAGCATCCCGTTATTAGTTTCATTAATATTCGAAAACTAATTATATGTTTGTAAGCAAAGAAGCGCGATTTCTGAGTCTTCATGTACACTTACAGGTGGCAAATATTCTGCAGATAAGGACGTTTTATCACCCATCAAACTTGATGTAACTGATTCATACATTGTAGAAATTTAAGACACAAATGACCGCAAATAAATGTATTATATTTTTGATATTTCGTATAATTATATATAATATTATATTCTTTTAGGTATATTTGTAGTTCATTAAACAATGTTCTCTTCTTACATCCCATCATCCTTAGCAATTCTTCTTTATTTTTAGCTACAACATTCAGTTTGAATTCCATTAATTTCTTCATTTTTAGTAAAATAGTATTTTTTTTTTTTTTTACATATGTAAATCAATTGTAGGAACAATATTTAACACCAAGCAAGTTAAAATCTCACAAAGCTAACAAAAGAGGAAAAGAAAAGAAAAGATGGCTACTGTTGTAATTTGAGTTGGAAATATATGATACTGTATAGGTACTAGATATGTGTACCATAGAAATCTATGTTATTAAATATCGGTTTTAGATATTTTAAAGCAATTGGTATACAAATGTGAAAAAATACTATTTTAATCAATTGTACCAATGCACTTTTATAATACTCATTTTCTCTGAAGGTATTTAGTTTTTAAACTTGTTAATGTATTTATGTTTTCTTGTTTGAAAAATTTTAAAAATATGTAAGATTTTAGTATTAATTTAAAGTTAATTTTTGCAATATATCAATAACCTAACTATTTTTCCATGTAGGAATAGAACCAATCAAAACATTTTTGATTTTAAGCATACCAATATATATATATATTTTTTTTTTTAACCTAACAGTAGTTAGGTAAATGAAAGCTGACAAGATTGTTTGTGTGAATATAAAATTAAAAATGCATTGCTTTCAGTGCCTATAAGATAAAATTATCATTTGACATATAACATTCAACTAGTATATAGTATGTAGTATATTCTGTAAAGAATTTAACAAGTTAAACAATCATATTATTATCAATGACTCATTTCTCATGTATTCAAAGTATTGAATGAACCAATAATAAATAGGTATTACAATAGTTACAATAATATTAGTTAATTATAAAAATAATCATTGGTTTAAAAACTATAGTATGGGCACCGTTTAAGATTTGCAATCATAGGGTTAATTTTTTTAAGTATATAAAACAAATTTCTATATATTTATTAAACCAAGAGGATTATTCTAATTCTAATTGTTAATTTAATAAAAATAGCTAGTATAAAAAAAAAAATTTCAAATATTATGTTTAATATTGACTTATTACTAGTAAGTTATAAAAAAAATGTATATTTTAAGTAATTCAATTTTGTGAACACAATTTCAAAATTATAATCAAATAAAAGTACTCCAAGGAAGAACATTGAATGAACATTATGATATCATTAACCCATATTACGATTGTATATCAAAAATGTGTTGATATATATCAGCTTATATTTGTAAGCTAAACTAGTATCACTAAATTGTAATAAATTAGTATATAATACAGTATTCAACAATACAAATAGTAAGGCCTTGAGGGAAATACAAATTGTAAGTAAATGTTTATACAAATAAAACTATACTATTTACAAATAAGTAATTTGAAATCTCCTTATTTGTTTTTATTTTTTGGTATACCCAACTTATGAAAACTTAACATTACGTTAGTTATAGTTGGATTTATACAATGATCACATTTCAAAAATAGTTCAGTCCAGTTTCTTATGGACTATATAAAATTACTACCTGTTTAATTTTACAATTAAAAATGTATTGAGATATTTCAAAATTATTACATTTTGTATTTGTAGTTTTGAAGTCTTAATTCTTTATTGTAAATATTGATTTTGCGATAATAATTTTGACAATGAATATACCATTGATTTATAGTAATTGATTAAATTTGTTCCAGATTTATGGATGCTATTGATGGTACTTATATTCATATTTTGTTATATGTATTATAAATTATTAATCTATGTAACTCATAAATATCCTAACCCTAGGTTATATTTTTATTACATTATAGTAAAAATAATATTTTTTTTCTTTTATCTCATATCAGTGGTTAATATTATTATTGTCTATTTTATTTGTTTAATGTTACAATATCAATGTACTTAAAACAATGTCAAACCAATATATTTCTCCCTACTTTTAGAATTTAACAGTAATATTGGTTTTTTTCATTAAACATATCAAATTTGTGTGTTGTATGGATTCTAAAATTGAAGAAAGTTTATTAATGCATATAATTTTAATCATTTTCTTTTTCACCTAATGATATTTTATATGTGAAGTATTATTTTTAACCCTTAGTATTTACATATTTTTAAGACTTAAGTAATAAATATGAAAATATAAAAATTGTATTTATATTTTTTATAAAGTTTATTTATCACCATTGATTATCATTATTGTTTATATATACTCCAAATGTAGTTTTCCCATATGATATTTACATTCCTACCACCAATCTATAATAAATTCCAGCAAACTACCATGTACCTATTTATTTTTTTTTCATGATATTATTCTATAGACCCCTTTTCTGTGATATTATTTCTAATACTTCCCTAAAGTTATCATTTTCATATAATGTATATAAAGCTTCAATTCTTCTCTTTTGGCAATATTATTATACTAGCGAAACTGCCATACATTAGTATAATCTAATAAATATTTTTATGCTGATATTTCTTTGAAAATCTCTAATTTTCAGTTCAACACAATGTCGGCTTGGTTTATTCACTTAGTTATTACTTTTTATTCAGCCAACTTTTTTATTTGCTCTATTTCTCTTTTTGTAGATATATTTGTGTCCGCTTAATAACTGTGCCTGCTACACACAAGAACTTAGTATTTTACCACATTTATTTGCTTGTTAAGTTTGTCAAATTTGCTTCATTAAACCACATTCTCTTTTTACATCCCATCATCCTTAGCAATTCTTCTTTATTTTTAGCTATTACTACTATGTCATCCACAAATGTAGCATATTATTTGTTTACCTAATCAGCCTAAATGGAAATTTATATCAAATTCAGAATCACGCAAAAAATTCTAAATA